AGGACGGCGAGCAGGTCGAGGCGGGCGCCGTGCCCGCCGCCGCCTCCGGCGTGAGTCGCGCAGAAGCCGGCGACCGCCGCCACGGTGACGAAGAACTCGGACGCGCTGGTGGTGCCGACCACGCGGCAGGGGGGCAGCGAGCTCCCCGCAAGGAGGCCAGACGTGGCGATGGGACCCCACCCTCCACCGCCGGTCGAGTCAACGAAGCCGCCGAGAAGTCCGATTAGCCGGAGGACGGTGGCCGACGGGGCGCCCGCTGCTTCCGCCCGGCGCGGCGCGATGCGGTAAAAGCGCAGCGCGACAATCGCACCGAGCCCGAATAGAAGAGTCGCCGAGAGGAGCCGCGCCGTCGCCGCCGGCGTGTACGAGAGAAGCGCCGCACCAGCCAGCGCGCCCAGCGCTCCCGGCGGCGCAACTTTTTTGAGGCTCGCCTCGTCCACGTTTCCGGCGCGGCGGTGCGCAAGGCCGGAGGCGAGCGTCGTGCCAACCTGTGCCAGGTGCACCGAGGCCGAGGCGGTCGCTGGCTTGAGCCCCGCGGCGACGAGGACGGAAGAGGAGGTCAGGCCGTAGCCCATGCCGAGAGAACCGTCGACCAGCTGAGCAGCGAAGCCGGCGAGTCCGACGCAGGTGAGCGTCCACACGTCTGCAGCCAAGAGAGAGGCCTGGTGCTCTCGAGCGACCTCAACCACGAGCGAGGCCGTCGCTGTCACGCTCGTGCGAACAACCGGCAAGAGGATCGTGAGGGCGAGGAGCGCCGCGATGACGGCGGCGGCAAAGGAGCTCAGCGGGGACGACTTGAGGGATGAGACTGGCGAGTGCATCGGTGGGACTGATGATCGCCGGTTTACTTAGTACGTTTCGTCGAAGTCCCTCGAGAGAAGAGAATTCTGCAAAGGGGTGTGAACGGAGAGAGCAAACTCCTGGCAGCTCCCACAGTCGAAATGTGCGCCAGCTGCCCGCTCACCTGTGTCACGCCGCCGCGCACGCACCTCGCTATGTGCTCGCGCGAGCTCCCGCCCGAGCCTCCAGCTCGGCGTCCCACTGCTGCGGAGCCGATCGCTTTTCCTCGGCGCTCGCGTCGAGCCGAGCTCTCGGCACTCTACGGCGGGCGTCGCTGTGCGGGGCGCCCGTTTCCTGCTGGCCCGAGCGGAAAGCTCCACGTGCCCGCGCGAGCTCCGGGCCGAGCCTCCAGCTCGGCGTCCCACTGCTGAGGAGCCGATCGTCGTCCGTCGGTGCTCTCGAGGAGCCGAGCTCCTTGGCCTGCGGCCGGCGACGCTGCAGGACGGCGCGCGCGCACCCCCCCCCCCTCACCCGCGCGCTCTTCCGCGGGCGGCGCACACGCACCCCT